TGGCCAGTCCATTATAGCTCCGGAAGTTGCTAGAAAAGACCATCCGAGAATCACTGGATATGTTGCGTCTCTCGTTTCGACAATGTAGAAGTCGACAGGCACTATGCAATCTCCTATTCTCAAAGGAATTTCATGAGCTATTCCTTGAGGTGTTGCATTGGAATCATCAGCTAGACTAATCTTTGCTCTAGTCCTGCGCAGGTGTTTAATACCAAGTCTCAAAGCAATTGCCTTGGACATCATGTTAAGACAAGCTCCAGAATCACAAAGCACGTTTTTAAACATTTCTCCTCTAATAAAACAAGAGATAAGAAACTGACCTTCACCTTCGATTTTGTAAAGTGTTCGAACAGGTTTACCTCTTCTGGCATGATTGAACAAGTCTTCTATCTCATGGATTGATTCCTTGCTCTCTCAGAAGTAATGGCCTATCATGAAGTCCTTGCAAGCTTTGGCAAAGGTGATTCCTTCAAGCAAATTTCGGACCACATCATTGAATTCGTCGAGCTTTTTTTGCTGATTTTGTTGGTGTAGTGGCTGCAGTATTCAGGTCTTTGAATGTGTATTGAATAGATTGCAGCATCAGGTGATGTTCTGGGAAAGGTCAGGCGTCTGGCCCTCCCAAAATAGGTTCAGATATCCTCTTTTGTCTCCTTGCTGTACCTAAAGAAAACTTGCAAACAACCAAGATGCCATATATCATCGAAACCTGTGTAAAGAGGGATCGATTTCACAAACTTGTTGAATTCTATGAGTCTTTCCCTGGAGATTGGTGCTCCTAATTCCACTATTTTTTCTTGATTGCCTCCTTCTATGAACAGACGATAGTCTTCATCTTCGAGGTACTGCCCTTCATATTCATCCTCATATGCTAAAACTATGTTGCAGGGAAATACCTCATTTTCTTGAGATGTTTTGGAGCTGATAGCATACACCGTTTGCTCATGAAGAGGGGTTTTGACCATCCCAGCAGATGTATCAAATGGACTTTGACCTGTATGGATAGAAAAGGGCTGAAACGTATCTGACCGACCATTTATCCCGGGAAGAGGCTGCACGACCGCGGGTAGGGGGTGTTGCCGCGGGTAGGAGGCTCACGACCGCGGCTGGAGGGTTGTTGGCCGTGGTCGCGGGCGTTCCGACCGCGGGAGAGAGACTCCGAGATGGTTCTGCTGTTTCATCTTCTCCTTTGCCATCTAAACTGATTTCTGGATCTTCTAACTCTGTCTCCTCTTCTTTTAGGTCAAGATCTTTGATGGGAAGCATCGAACCATTCGTTTCACGTCCTTGCATAAGCTTTTCGACCTTCTCTTCGACTTCATCAAGAGCATAGACTACTTTGTCCACGGTTGAGTCGATTTCTTCTGCTTTGTCTTGAACCTTGTGTACTCCATCCCAAATCTTTTCCACGTAGGAGTAGGTTTGGTTGTTATGGTCGTTAATAGTTTCTTCTGCTTCATCGAGCTTGACCTATAAGGTGCGGATGTTTCCACTAGCTTTGCGAATGCTAACTTCGTTCTCTCCAACTCGTCCTTACACTGCTTCCATCCTCTCCTTGATAGTCTCAGCATCCTTGTTTGCTTGAGTCTCGATGATTTTAACTTGAGCAGAAAGATCTTCAAGCTTCTTGTTAAAGTGAGTTGACATGTTGTCAATTTTCTCGCGAAGGGCGGCTCTTGATGTTACTTGAACGGCGATTAAGTGCATGACCACCGCCTCTAGTCGACTCAATCGGTGAATGAGCTGGACGTTTTCATCTTGGTGAGGCAGACGACGAGCAGGATGTCTAGGGTTTGCCATTGGAGGTACGTAGGGCTCGTTCTAGAACGTTCTGTAGTCTTCGGTTCGAATTTCTTCGTACAGATCGCGTAAGTACTGCTTCTCTCTTCGTCTGGTGGCTTGAGGAGTGTTATAGAAACCTTCCTCATAGTGTGGATTTCGATTTATAGGATCGATATCTTCTGAAATAAAACAAAATAACCGAAAAATGGAAATATGCATAAAAAGGGGTTCTAAAGTCGATTTACCAACCTTTCTTAGGGTTTTGCGAAAAAGAAAACGCGTGCCTTCCCCGGCAACGGCGCCAAAAACTTGATGTCGGAGTGTGTGAGGGTGTCAAGTTTTACCCTAAATGAAATCAATAGCCGCAAGTGCACAGCTGATCGATTGTAGTACTTAGGGATCAAATCCACAGGGAATGAGGATCTTTCCTGCAAAATCCTTCGAAAGAAATATGAAGTAAGGAAGTCTAGAACCAGGCGAGTTTTGTGAGGGTTTTGGTGGTGTATTTAAAACGTAAAACGAATTTTAAAGAGAAAATACGGGAATTAAAATGACCTAATAACTAAACTTAACGAAAACGGGTAAAAACGGGAAAAACGGCTAACCTTATTGCTTAAATGAAAATCGATTGAAAGAGTAAATAAACTAGACTAAAGCTTGAATGAAAATCGGTGTAAATCTATAAGAAAGAAGGCGCTGGGGTTCAGGGAAGTTTTCTTAGGGGTCGAACGATTCAAAACATTGCTAGAGAGTAAATTTGATAAGATCTTAGCTTAAACTTTTCGAACTGGAGTCACGGACGTATGAATACGCCACTGTCGTGATCATAGACAACTATCTCTCTCAACCCTGACCAGTAGGTTTCCACTCTGGCCCTGGAAAAGAAGAGATGCATTATGTTTAAGACTCGTCAGCATTCAAAAATCGCCCATAGGTAGGTTTCCACTCCTATGTTTGTTTTGCTCTCCCAAACTAGATCTGACACCGGATGAACACTTTTGTGTCACCAAGCATCTGGATCAGATTGTAGTTCATGACGCTACTCTCATGCAGTAAAAACGAATTCAGAATAAAAAGTTCTAAGATTCGGCTCAAAAGCTCATGGAATCCTCATCGAACATATAAATCCCCATCGAAAATCCCTTAGCCCCAACAATAAAACTACTCAGACATGATGAACGAAATCAAAAACATAGTATTAAAAAGTAGAATAGAAACCAAAATTGAAAAAGAAAGAACAAGGGTTCAAGAGACAAATCTCTCTCTCCCTAAAACCTAAAACTTAAAAAGTATTCTAAAACAATAAGAACATATGAGGGCATACGAATTAGGGTTCTTAAAACATGTATTTATAGTGCTCAAGTCATCTCTAGGGTCTAGAATTCCGGAATCAAGGCTGGGGAAATGATATCGGCTTCAGAAATGGGCCTTCGGGGTCGGAGTTAGCTGGCCGCGGTCGGGATGAGTGTGACCGCGGGAAATGGGTGGCTGGCCGCGGTCGGGATGGCTGTGACCGCGGGGATTGGTCTGTTGGTCGCGTATGGAAACGCTTGCCGGCTGGTTTACGGGACATCTTGCTCTTCGCGTATCTTTTGATTGAAACGTTGGATTGCCAAGCTGTAAAGTGTACTAGAAAGCTGATACTTCCATCTTTAAGATCTCCAAATTTGAGCTGGATCAGACGGTGAGAAGGCCTTCAATCGGGGGTAAATTTCTGACGGTTTGACTCTGAGCTGAAATCTGGTTTTCTATCCATTTTGTTAAGCTTTTCCCTAAGTTACCTGAAAAGAGTATTGGAACTACAAATACTAGAAAAACGTGATAAAAGTACTTAAAAGCAATTAAAAACATAGAAAAAGTATTTCAAAACGATCCATAAAAGTGGTCAAAATACGGTGTTATCAGGACTTAAGCTTTATTCCTCATTTTTCTTTGCCTCTTTTAATTTGTGTAAGAAAACTCCTTCTGAAGAGAAATATATGATTTTAGGCGTTTTAATCAAGAGATTCAGAGATTCATGAGTGTTTAAGGCTGTTTTCTTCTTAATCTATCATCTCCATCTCCATTTACACACTTCTAATCATGATTAACAACACATCTTGCAAAGGAACTAGTATGTTGATCATAATTAGTGAGTAAACCCCATATTAAGGTCTTAGATATGTAGATTAGGGTGCTTAGGTGTTAGATTAGTGAGTTTAGGGATTAGATCATTTATATTCCATTCTCTACAACCTGTTCTCTATGCTAGATCCATACACATCATATGTGGTCTAGATTCTGGGTATTTCATGCACCAAAAGTGTTTGATGAAATGCCTGAACCAAGGTTGTTAGAGGTTTAAGTTTTATACATCATGGGAGTGATTGTTTATATGCTTAAATGACAGATTAAACTGGTTCTCAATGCTTGTAAATTCATGTTTCACTAATGATGATTAGGCTGGAAACTGTTTTAACATAGATGTTAATGCCTTCATGAGAGGATTAGCTTAGTTAATGATGTTTAAGTTGAATGGTTTGCTTGATCACATGATTCATTAGCTCACTAGTTTAGCACCAAAGGCACCCTAATCCACTATCATGTCTAAAACCTTTCTCATCATCATACATACATTCTCATCTCATTTAGCTTATTTACTTGCTTGTTTAAGTTGATCATTAGCTTTAATTCTTGTTCTAAGCTTGTTTAGTGTAAGTAACATCAAAACCTCACTCATTTGGCTTGAATTAAGAACTGATCCTGCATTTTAGTGTCTACACATGATGGATTGATACCCTTTGTACTGCAAAGTGACAAAAGGGATTGATAACCCCTCATTTAGAGCCTTGAAAACTCTAAGTTATCACTCCTCAAGTGTTTGTGGGTGAGAATGACCGAGCCAATGCACACCAATACAGGACAGGCATTCAAGCTCCACTGGTTCAGAATAATAACTTTGAGGTGAAGGCTTCTTTGCTCAACATGGTTCAGAACTCTAAGTTCCATGGTCTCCCAATAGAAGATTCCTTGGAGCATTTGGATCAATTTGACATGGTGTGCGATCTAACTAAGATCAATGGAGACTCTGAGGACAGTTTCAATCTTAGATTGTTTCCATTCAGCTTAGGAGATAATGCACGTCAGTGGTAAAAGAATCTACCTAGAGGCTCCATTCAACTTGGGAGCAGTGCAAGCTTGCATTCTTGTCTAAGTTCTTCTCTACCTCAAGAACTGCCAAGCTGAGGAACCAGATATCAAGCTTTACCCAGCACAACAGTGAAAGCTTTGGGAAAGCTTGGGAGAGGTTAAGGAGTTACACCAACCGGTGTCCACATCATGGGTTTTCAGAGGCTTCACTCCTGAGTACACTGTATAGAGGAGCACTCCCAAAGATCAGAAACCATTTAGACACAGCATCAAATATGAATTTTCTGGGTCGAGAGATCAATGCTGCACTGGAACTTGTGAAGAATCTAGTCATGAGTAATGATACTTATGGGGAAAACTCTGACAGGACAAACAGAAGTGAGGGTTCCAATAAAGAGCAGAGGATGGAAAAAGACATTAGAAAGCTTCAGAGCAAGCTTGAGAAAGTGTTAGTGGCAACTCAGAAGCCACTACACTTTGTGGGAGAATTGATGATCAATCCCCAAGCTTTGAAAATGTCAATGAAGAAGGCCTCACTCAGGACGAGATAAACTACATTGGAAATCAGAATAGGTATCAAAGGTTCAACAACTTCAACACAAACCAAAACCTCTCCTATAGAAATCCTAATGTAGCTAATCCTCAAGTATCCTCCTCCTTAGGGTCAGCAGAGTTTTGTTCCCAAAAACAAATATCAAGAGAATTTTCAACCTAAACAACAGTTTGTTCAGCAATAACAAGGCTATGGACAGCAACAGTAACCGATCCAGGGTAGCTACTTCACTAGCCAGCCTCCACAACAGAAATATCCACCAGGGTTCAGTCAGCAGCCATTGGATCAGCATCAGTTGGATCAGCAGCCGCCGGTTCAGAATCAGCAACAAATGGGGCCTGAGTTGTGTGAAGTGTTATAGCAGAGTCTGCAGGGTCAGCATAGGGTTGAGAGTGGTTTTTCAGACTTGGGTTCAAACTATGTTGCAATGCAACAAGAATTCATGGAGTTAAGGCAGAATCAAGCCTCTATCTCAGGAAACCAAGGCACTCTACCTTGTAAACCTGAGCCTAACCCAAAGGAGTATTGCAATGCTATAACTCTTAGAAGTGCAAAGGAGTTTCCAGAGAGAGAACCTAGACAAGTGCTCATTGAGGACAATGAGCAAGTTGGTGGGGAGGCAGCTCAAAAGAGTGAGCAAGAAGAGGATATTTTCAAGAGTGACAAAAGCAAAGAGGTGGAACAAGATATGGTGCCTGAAAAACCCTATGTTCCACCACCATCATACCAACCTAAACTTCTATTCCCTGGAAAGGTTTAAGAAGCAACTCTTAGACAAAGCTTGAGCAGTTTTTGAAAAGCAGCTTAATGAGACCCCATTCACCATGCCTCTCATAGAAGCTTTTCTCATGATGCCAAATCTTTTAAATTTTTTAAAAGATGGCATCCTCAACAAGACAAAGGAGCTAACATGGATGGTTGTGTTGAGTCATGAATGTAGTGCAATCATACAAAGGATGGCAATCCCTGCCATCCTAGAAAGCTATCAGATTCAGGGAGCTTCACACTTCCTTGTGCATCTGGTCTTTTGATGTTTGCTGGTTGTTTATATGACTTAGGAGCATCAGTCAGCTTGATGCTATTTTCAATAGCAAAGAAATTGGGGTACAGAGTGTTCAAGCCAGCAAGAATCTCTTTGGTCTTAGCTGATAGGTCTGTTAGACTACCAGTTGGAATGCTTGAAGATCTACCAGTCAAGATAGATGGCTTTGAAGTTCCAACAGAATTTGTGGTCTAGGAAATGGATGAGTAACCCATTGATCCTCATATCTTAGGCAGACCATTCCTTGCCACTGCTGGTGCAATCATAGATGTAAGGGATGGCATGATTGAACTTCAGTTTGATGTGAGAGAGATGACGAAGAAACCCACCATAGAAGGATAATTCTTCTACATGGAAACTCTGGATGAGCTAGCTGATGAGCTCTTAGAGGAGTTGAACATTGAAGATCACCTTCAAATAGCCTTGACTAAAGAACATGGTGATCATGGTTACTTGGCTGAAGATAGTGAAGCCTACATGATGGCTTTGGATCAACACAAAGAAGTGGGCTCAATATCAGGGTTCATTGAGCTGGGATCAAGTGGTTCAGATGTTCAGGAAATCAATGGGTCAAGCACAAACCAATGGTCAGTTCAAGAGTGCAAAGCCGTAGGGATAGAGGATGAGCAAGTCAAGAAGCTTATTGAGGAGATGAACACCAAACAAGGGCCAGCCAAGGAAGATTCATACAATGCGGATTGGGATGAGTCTAAGGCACCTCTATTGGAACACAAACCTCTTCCTAAGGGGCTCAGGTATGCATTATCAGGTCTCAATGAGTCTTACCCTGTCATCATAATTGATAGGTTGCTAGATGATCAAGAGCATGCATTATTCAATGAACTAAGATAGCATAGGAGAGCCATTGGTTATTCATTGGATGACATAAAAGGTATCTCACCCAACCTATGCACTCATAGGATTCATCTTGAAGAAGAATCTATTTCATCCATTGAACACCAAAGGAGGCTGAATCCTAACTTAAAAGAAGTAGTGAAAAGGAAATTCTAAAACTCCAAGAGGCTTGGATCATCTATCCTATCTCAGATTCTAGATGGGTTTCACCAGTACATGTGATGTCCAAGAAGGGTGGAATGACAGTGATCAAAAATGAAAGGGATGAGCTGATGGCAACCAGAACCATCACAGGCCATAGGATGTGTATAGATACAGAAAGTTGAATGCAGCCTCTAGGAAAGACCACTTTCCTCTTCCTTTTATTGACCAAATGTTAGAAAGGCTAGCTAATCATCCCTTTTTCTGTTTTCTATATGGTTACTCTGGGTTCTTTCAGATTCCAATAGACCAAAGAGACCAGGAGAAAACCACATTTACCTATCCATATGGGACCTTTGCCTATAGGCACATGCCATTTGGGCTGTGCAATGCTCCTGCTACATTCCAATGCTGTATGATGTCCATATTTTCGGATCTGATTGAGGTGTTCATGGATGACTTCTCAGTCTATGGACACTCTTTCTCCTCTTGTTTGT